CGGGAAGTCCGCCCATCTTAAAAAAAGAACCCAGCTTGAGAAAGGCCGGTCTTAAAATGTCTCGGCGCCTGCGCAAAAGGCGAGGGCGGGAACTGTGACGTAAAGGGAAAGAGACGGCTGTGCCTTCGCGCTCCTCACAGGACGTCACCGCGCGCGCCGGAAGCGGCCGGGCAAGCAAACATGGCGGCACCTGAGGGAGACAAGGAGAGCTGGCCCGAGCTGGCGGCGGCTGTGGCGGGCGGGCGGCGGGAGCTGCGGCTGGAAGCCGGCGAGGCGCTGGAGCGGAGGGTCCGAGCGGCCGGAGGTCGCCTCCCCGCCGCGTTGGGCGAGCTGGGTGCAGCGCTTCGCTCCCTGGAGGTCCGCGGCTGCCCGGAGTTACGTGAGCCCGGCGCAGCGCTGGGCCTCCTCTCGGGCCTGCAGGCGCTGGCGCTGCCCGGCTGCGCGCTGGGCCCGGCGGGGCTGTCCCTGGCCGGGCGGCTGCTACCTGCCGCGCTGCGCTCGCTCGATCTGTCGGACAACGGCCTGGAGGAGCTGCCGCCGCAGCTGGGCGGCCTGGAGGGCCCCGAGGTGGAGACGGGGTCGGCGGTGGCAGCCCTGCCCGAGCTGCGGGTGCTGAACCTGCGCCGCAACCGGCTGCGCGCCCTGGGCCCCGGGCTGGCCCGCTCGGCCCCCGCGCTGCTGGAGCTGCTGCTGGGCGGGAACCGGCTACGCGCCCTCCCGGGGACGATGCTGCCCCCACCGCCGCCGCCGCCGCCCGCCCACGGGGGTCGCCGTCCCGCCCCTCCACCCTCGCCTCTGCCTCTGCTGGGCCTGCTGGAAGCGGCCGGGAACGAGCTGGAGGTGCTGGGCCCAGAGGTGGCCCGCCTGGCCGGGCTGAAGGTGAGCGAAAGACCAGAGGAGCCAAACAAGGCAGGCCCAACCCAGCAAATGCACGAAACTTCAGGATAGGCCAGTGGGTCACGTTTCATTAAAGCACACCTACATATAAGGGAGGACTAGAAGACCTCCAAGGCCCCTTCAGATTCCTCTCCCAGCTCAATTCAATGGAAGGGCTCCCCTGCAGAAGCTGTGGTTGCTCCATCAGTGGAGCTCTTCAAGAAGAGACTGGACAGCCATTTGTCCAGAATAGTATAGGATCTCCTGCTTGAGGAGGCAGCTGGACTAGAGGACCTCTGAGGCCCCTTTCAGCTCTGTATTCTACATTATATGCAGTGGGTGACAGCGCTGGCTGAGAACATCTAGTGATGAAATGGGGGGGGGGGAATAAATTCACACAGACACATAGTCATAAAACATTTGTTTTTAAACTTTAGTTTTCCCCCCAGTGCTGTGCATTTCTGTAATGAGGAGAAAATATGTCTGATTGCTACTGACTTCAGGGACTAAAGATATGGACATTTATTAGTGTCATAAAACATTCCGATTTTGGAATAGAAAACACACACACACCAATGATGATGGCTGTGACTTCCCTACTAAGAATGTGGAAGGGGTGAAGGTTTGTGGTAAAACACTTCCAAAACGATGCCTAGCACCTCTTAAGTTCACCGTATGAGCTGTTGCCCTGGCACCTGTTGTGGTTTTTCAGCTGAGGCTGTCATGCCTGACTGAGAGGGCAAGACTTGTTCCTAGGGATTTGCTCTCTTTTCTTGGTGGAAAACAACCAGCTCTGTGTCCTTTTTTCCAGACTTTGGATGTCTCCAATAACAAGCTCTCCGAAATCCCAGCGGAGCTGGCTGACTGCCCGAAGCTGAAGGACGTCAACCTGAAAGGCAACGCCCTGAAGGACAAGCGGCTGGAGAAGATGGTGAATGGCTGCCAGACCAAATCGATCCTGGAGTATCTGCGCCGGGGGAGAGGCAAGCAGGAGGGTGGCACTGAGAGAGAAGAAAGCCGGAAGAAGAAGCGAGAGAAGAACAAGAAGAAAGGAAGCAGCGATGACGAGCTGGAAGACGCCCAAAAACTGCTTGTGAAAATCCTTCACATCTCTGAGAGCCCAGCGCCATTGGTGGTGAAAGCCAGCCCTAGCGTGAAAGATGTCCGCCCTTACATTGTGTGCTGTGTGGTGAAAGGCATGGATTTCAGCACTGGCAATGCTCTGAAGAGGTTCCTCTCCATTCAGGTGGGGTTCCAAAAGGGACGCTAAGCCGTTATGGACCCTCCTGCCCCTCCCATGTAGAAAACCCTTCTGTCCTCAAGTCCGGCTGTTCCTGATCAGGCAGCAGGAATTTGGCTTGAAATTCTGGGAAGGAATAGTTCAGAATAAGTCTAAATCTGATTTTTTTTTTCTTTTAATCCCATAAACAGACAAAGCTCCACGAGGACATTTGTGAGAAACGAACCGCGGCCACCATTGCGACTCACGACCTGCAGCTGGTGAAAGGGCCACTTGTCTACGAGGTTCGGGCCCCAGAGGAGTTGAAGGTGGGATATCCCCCAGCAGAGGGCTTTGTGGAGGGAAGGTGGAGTCCTTGCAGGCGTTTCATGACCCAAGTAGGGAACGTAATCAAGGCTGGGAGCAAACTCCCTCTCTGTTCTAGCCCTGAGGATGTTCCCTAGTTGGGTCATGAAACACAGACAGCAAAGCAACCCAGCTCAGAGAGCACCAAGGACCCCACAGCTATAAGTTGCTTGCCTGTTTCTTCCTCGGTCTTTCTCCCCTTTCCGAAGCTCCCTATCTTGAAACGGTTTCCCGTGTTTCAGATCATCCCCCTGGGCCGGAAGGAGACGAAGGCCAACGACCTCCTTCGCCAGTTGCAGGCCGAAGCTGAGGAACAGCGGAAGCAGAAGAAGAGACAGAACATCTCTGGATTGTACAAGTACGTCATAAGTTTGAGGCAGAGGAGAGGAAATAGGCTGGAGCACGAGTTCAAGAGCTACCACGACTGTAGACTAAACAGGGTTGTTGGCAAGGTTTCCTAAAAAAACCCCAACCAAATAAACCCAGAATTTACATTAAAATTTAGTTTTAAAATAACTTATTTTACGTATTTATCCCAGGATTAGCAGCAGGGTTTCCTAAGAAAAACTCCCATGATTGTGTACACAAATTAAACCCAGGTGTTTTACAAAGGAACTGAAAAACCCAAATGTGGATTTAAAAACTCAGCACTGATGACTCTGTCACGAAGCTTCTTGTGGCTTAAATACGCGTTTTGATCTGCCTCTCGGCTGCTGCTCTTAAAGATGTATCATTCAAGTTTTAATTTTATTTTTTCAGACAGTGGATCAATCTAGGGCGATTGCTTCAGACTTCCATGTTATTTTGTGTTTATTGGACTGTCATAGCGTCCTAATAACATGGACCTTCTTCCTTTCAATTTGGGCAGGTACCTTCATTTGCTGGATGGGAAGGAGAATTATCCCTGCCTGGTTGATGCTGAAGGCGCCGTGATTTCTTTCCCTCCTATTACGAACAGCGAGAAAACGAAGGTCAGGGGGCTTGGCTGAGCAGCGGGTGGGGAAGGGGCTGGGATTCCAGACCAGTCCTTCAAGCTGCCAATCACACAATCGAGGCAGCTTTGCATATAAATAAATTACAATCGAGGAGGAGTCCTTACAACCACAGTCGGGACTAGGATGTACTGATGATGATACCTAGCTGGGTCATAATGCAAGAAAATCGCCACGCTGAGAGAGCACCAAGGACCCCACAGTCCTCTTCCTCCTCCTGTTTTCCTCAAATCTAGCACTTCCCCTTCCCATCTAGCACTGATGATGTTACGTAGTTGGGTCGTGTACATTGAGGATGGCTTCTCGCAGGGATTGCTTTGGAAAACGGCTAATGTTTTCTTTTTGGTCTTTTCAAGCTTGGGAAAACGACCACCGACTTGCTTCTGGAAGTGACCAGTGCCACTAGTCTTCAGCTGTGCAAGGACGTGATGGACACGCTCATTGTGGTATGTCCTCCTCCCCCCCCTTCCCCGCCTCTCACCTCAGGGCTGGGAACCATGGGCCTCGGGGCTGTCAGGAATTGCAACAGGGCATCTGACAGCTGGGACACGTTATATCTCTGACTGGCTGGTAGCAGGTTTACAGGTAGTCCTCAACTTATGGCCGTAATGGAACCTGCCAGTTAAAAAGTCAAAAGGTGTGAGAGTCATAAAACAAGTCAATCACAGGACCGCCCCCATTTTATGGCCTTTTTTGCAGTGATCACGGTGATTGTAAAGTAAACTCAGCGGTCATTAAGTGAACCCGTTGTTCGCAGTGGGTGTTTTGGCCAAAGCCCAGAAGGAAAAACTGGATTTCCGCAAAAAAAAAAAATCCTGGCTAGGTGACTGCAGGACGTCAGTCAGTCATGCATGCGGGCCAATTGCCAAGCACCCAAAATGTGATCCTACGAACACAAGGAGTGGGGGGGAAGACTCCAGAACCAGGCCTTAAAATACTTTGGGGGGGTTCCATCATGATTAGATGGCTGGTCGTAACTCGAGGTGCAACTCTCTCAGCCGAGAACGCCTTCCCCTCCTGGCCCTTGATTGTCATGGAGCCCAGGACCAACCGTGGGGCTGGGACCCCCCTTCTGTGCTGGATTCTGCTCTTTTCAGGAAGCTGAAATAATCTCCTTTATTGCGGTGGTGGTTATTATTATTATTATTATTATTTATTATGTGAATTGCAGAAAATGGCCGAGATGAACCGGCTGAGTACAGTCAGCAAAGACGGGGAGGGGGACTTGGATCCCGAAATCCTCCGGCCCGAAGGCAGCCCCCCCAATGCCCCCCTGACCTTGGAACAGGTCCGGGTTGTGGACGCAGAAGGCAGCCTAAAAGTCCTCTACCCGTCGAAGACGGATCTCCACACCTCCCTCCTCACCGTCCTCCACTAAGCGCCCCTCCCCCGGGGGCTTTTCATAAAGGTTTCCGGGGGGTCCCAGCGCTCGGCTCGTTTCGCCAGCCGCAGCTGGAAGCCTTGAGCTGTTATTGGAGGTCGCATGAATTTGGGGTCAGCTTGCTTTAAATCCCCCTCCTCAGGTGGCCGGGGCGGTGTCACTTTTGATCCCTTGCCAACGAGCGTACATCGGACGAAGTTATTTTCGCCAAGGGGTCCCTCCCTGGGGACGTAATTTTGCTGTGCTGTGTGATGGTGTTCCTTCCGTGGGAGAGAGGGGAGGCTTGGTGGTCTCAAGGATTGTTCCTACGGCAAGGGTGGCGTTTCCCTTTCCTTCCCTGCCATGTGGATTCTCCCAAGAGAACTGGGGTGCTGTGCCTGCCCCAGCTTGGCCCTGGGACCTTGGGGTGGGCCAAGTGGCCCCTCCCTCCTCCCAACGGTGGGGTGCTTGGTGGCCTCGAAGCTTGCCGTCTTTCTGCAGACGTTTCACGACCCAACTAGATAACATCATCAGTGCTAGAATGGAGGGGGGTCTGTACAGAGGAAGAGGACTGTGGGGTCCTTGGTGCCCCCTGAGCTTGAGGGTTTTCTTGCAGATGTTTCATGACCCAGCTAGGGAACAACATCAGTGCTAGCAGGGAGAGGGGTTTTCTGGTTTCTAGCAACGATGTTACCTGGTTGGGCCACGAAACATCTGCCAGAAAATTCGGAGAAAGTACCGTGGACCCGCCCCCCCTCGCCCCAAATTCAACCCCGGTCTATAGACCTCTTCCGTGAGTGACAGACGGTGCTCCATCCATTGTTTTCTGTTTCACCAATGCTGGCCGAGAGTTGTGCTCACGTTCCAGGTCGTAGAGATACAAACCGGGTCTTCAGGACAGCGCAAAAGGTTTTTAAAATCCCCCCAAAAGACACGCTTCCGAATGTCAGGCATTAGGCCTGCTAGTTTTACTGGAAATTAAGACTGTCTGAATCTCCAGCTTTGGGGCATTGATCATTCCCCGCCACCCCAAAAAAGGAATAAAAATGTTCAAAATCTCAGTTTTTTTGGCCTCTTTTGTTCAGCAGTTGGCAGTCCTGGGGGGTGGGGGGTTGGAGTTAACAGCCTGCAGCGAATGGGGGGGGGGGGTGTCACACCCAGTAAGGACAAACAGAGTCCAAGGATGGGGGGGCTTTCAACCAGAGTGCCCCCAAACTCTGACGTGCTTCGGGCTTGTTTCTACTGTGACCCAAGATTCGGGGTTTATGCAGAAGCCAGAGAGCTTGACCAGCTGGCCTGCATTCATTATGACTTCTATCCGCAATCCCTTCTGCATTCCAACCGGAGGCGCTGCTCTAGAGCCACTTGCAAGGCTGAGAAACTTCCCACAGCCTTGGAAGGTGCATGGCTTAGTTTCACTTTCGTTTTCAGAGGGGAATGATTTCTACGGAACCCCTTTGGGCTCAAGAGAGGTCGCCACAAGGCTCCTAAAACTCGATTTTCATCCTGTGACCATTAGATTGAGCTGCGCTGCAACCTACAATCTGAATACACATTGTCTCTTGCTCCTATGTATATTGAATCAGGGTGAGGGTTTTGCAATTTTATTCATATATATTTTTTGAGCTGTAAGCCACCCGGAGTAAATCAATAAATCAATGAATAAATAAATATTGCCCGTAATAAATATGAAAAATATTGCAATGTGTTTAGACCATAGGACATACTGCCCC